GAGGGCCTGAAGTGGGGCTATTGTTAGTAAAGAAGTTGGGTCAATCAACATTCTGCTCCAAGCCTTCCATGTTAATACCAGCACTTTAGTGCATAACAGGCTTTTGCTAGATTGCAAGGGTGTATTAGTCCACAATAATGCAGGGATGGATGTAGGGGAAATACATGCATTTTCCAGGGAAAGCCAGATGGGAGTTACTTGTTTTAAAAGGCTACTGGTGCCTTGTGCTAAAAGGGAAGCTCTATAATAATTACGTATGCAAGGGATGCCACAACAACTGCTTTGCGACTCATGTGGCTTTCTTTTCCAAATATGGGCATTGAGCATTTCCTGTAAACGATTAAGGAGGTGATTCGGTAGTGAAATAGGAATAGTTCTAAATAGATATAGAATATAGGGAATAGCCATCATTTTAATGGTGTTGATCCTACCCAGTCACGACACCTTCAGATCTCTCCAACCCTCCAATTGTGTGGATACCTTATGGATCATGGGTTCATGATTTTCTCAAATAAGATGTTGGGGGTGTTTAGGAAGAATAATCCCCAAGTATGTTAATGTCAAATGTATAGGTGGATTTCAATAGGTGCACTGTCCGCTTAGGGAGATTCATTAAAAGGGCTTGAGTTTTTGAGGATACTTTTTGTAAAAGGAGATGTGACCATACTCAATATAAAATGCTTTTAATCACTACTTTGCTGGTCATAACGCCATCCAGATCACAAAAATTGGTGGTAAGACTTTACGAGCCGTGCTTACCCCTACCTCATGTACGCTTTGCCTCTGTTAACATAATACTGTACATGAGGGAGATAGTGCCTTGCATCCCTGCCAAACACTGTTAACTATAACACATTGCTAAGATGTATAGCACACTAGATGTTTGCCCAAAAGAAGACATCTACTACCCGATCACCCCTGCTTTCTAGCAGAGCCACCCATGGACTATATAACAGTAGTCACATTCATCATGAATAGGGGTCTCCAGAAAGCCTATTCAAAATATACAACTGATACCACATGGAGTCTGGAGTCTGGATTCTTACCCCCTCCCCTTTCCACTCCAAATCAGGGCCAGGCCAAAAGCCCACAGAAGAAGCCCTGGTTATGGAAAAAAACCCTACAGTTGGCCCTCTTGATAGAAGCCTGGAGCCCCACATGACTCCACCATATCCTGTACTAATATTGCTGCAAATTATACTTGTACACGCAACTAAGGCAAAGCACTGTTAAATTCATGATGTATGCTATAGTTTCTGTACTTTTGCTTTCCGAAATAAAAATATTTTGAAAAAAAAAAATTGGTGGTAAGCATGGTTTTGCTGATTGGTCTCCATTGTACTTTGCTCCACAGTATTACAGAAAAAAAAATGCATAAATCAACAATTCTCGGATGTTTGCCCTTTTCTATTAATCCACAGTGGAGACCAATAATTGCATCAAAAAACAGATCTTCTCTAAAGTCTGGGGAAAATGTTTCCATTTGCAACTGGGCAGATATAAAATTTTTGATTCCATACAATCCAGTTTCCATCCAAGTCGATGTACAACAAACAAACTCTCTTGGGAGAGTTTTTAACGTTGCTGTGATTTAGGAAACGTATTCCATCCACAAAGCGATAATCAAACAGGAAGTCTAGTTTTCAGACCAATATCTTGTTCGAGATCTCACTTATCTCAAATTATTTTAAAACACTTCATCACATCTCCTTTTCTTTTTATTTTGAATTTTATTCAAAAGTTTGTTTGTTTTCTTAATTTAACTGAATTTCTTGGACAAACTTACTTTCTCACTAATAATTTTAACATTTGGGAAGGTGCCGTGGAAAGCAATCCAAATATTCTAATGATTCAAAACACAACCCTTCCAAAATGATCAATGAAGTGATAAGGGCATGGTTTAATTTGTTTAAATAAGCATCAGAAGAGATTTACATTATTTTAGAAAAAAACGTTTCAAATGATTTCTCTAGAGAAGTCATCTTTAACGTCAGTGGGAAATTTTATAGGTACGTAACATGAAAGGTGTTTTCGAACAGATTGAAATAATTTCTGATTCAAACAAATGAAATCGCGGCCAAAGTTCGGCTGTGTACACTGAATGTTAAAACATTCAAACCCTCTGGGAAACTTAAAGAAAATTGATTTCTGACAATTAGAAAAAATAGTAAACTGCATTTTCGTTTTTTCTCTTTCTATGTTAGTGATGGGGATATGGAGGGCTCTGAAAGGGCCAGCTTGATGCACTTGTAACTCTTATTTATATAGCCACTCAAGACTACAATTCCCTATAATTCTGAGTTTTCAGACTATGGCCTTGATTTTAATATTTTTGGATAAGCATTTCAAATTATGTTAGAAAAACATGTCAAATTATTTACCTATGGTCAACATGAAAGTCTATGGGAATTTTTGTAGGTAAATCAAAGAAATGTATTTCTAACCAATTCTGATCTTTGAAAAAGTTATCCAAAAATATTAATAAAGGCCCATGCCGCTATTCTTTACACTCACATTATTCTCGTAAAACTTGACATACTGTATAACACACCATTTAACTGTCCCATCCCCAGTGCTGTGAAGTGAGGGCCTGTTCAGTGGGCCAAAGGATCCCAATTTCTGATTCTATAAATGGGACTTATAATTGAGCACAATTAAACAAACCCTGAAAAAAAAAAGACTAAAAAAGAGCACCCTGGAATATTAAACTATTCTGATGAAACAAAGAGAAACTGAATTTCACAAAATTGCACTTATAAAAAAGCTTTTAATTTTAAAAAAAACAGTACATACAATTTGTACATACAATCTGTTCGAAATTAACCAGGCTCATAATTTTCTCATTAACATTTAGTGATTATTAAATCAATGCTACATTTATACACGTTGACTTGGCAAGGTTCATCACATGTGGATGCCTTCTCCATGTCTATTATAAAAACTAATTTTCGTATATGTCACTCTATACTACCTCCGAGAGGAAATAGCTAGATTTATGTTGCTCTAAATGCACGTACGTTTTTCCCTGCAGTAGTTCTGTCGCCCTTAATTGATGTTTAGCAGTACATTTTTCAGTTGAGTTTTGTAGAAAATTAATTTTGAAATAACGTACAACCTTTAGGGCATCAACAAAGTCTACCACAGGCCCTGTTCCAAACCCCGCTCTTAAAAAACACAGGTAATTATAATACATTTAGGATGAATAGTTAATCATTTTGCACCAAAGCAGACCAGTTAAGCGAGCGATACGAATCGCACTTTGTTTTGAAAAAGCTTCAATTGATGGGGAAAAAAGCATTAAAATAATTAATGCAACAATTGAATCTCTACAATCTCGGCAACTGTAAATCCCAATTACTAAATGGATCACATGTTTTTTTTTCTCCAGAAAGATTGAGAAAACAATTTCTAAATCTCTTCTGCTAGCCTATATGAGGTTATCACGGACATTGAGCATATCAAAATTCATTGCAGTTCGACTTGCTAATGTTTCTTTTACAAATTAAAATTGTGTAATCAAGTCTCAGGGTACATTCTGGTTTTTATATCTATTACTTGGAAACTCTAAGCCCACCTGAAAAACTTACAATGAATTTAGTAAAGGAATAAAAGCTGTGCATAGAATTTTCCTTGATCTCTTGGAGACGACACAAGACTTATTGGATTTATTCACTAAATGGTTAAAAGGACATTCCGAGTCTGAAGTTGCTCATCCATTTTCAAGTTTTATTTTAAGGTTTGCAGGAGAAAATACAAAGCAATATGAAAAATACAAAATGTATAACAATAAGTAAATCTGAGGCAGCTAGACCTTGGATTGGAACATCTATAAAATGTAGGCGTTGATCTAGTATTCATGGATAAACTTTTAAATTATGTAATATTTTTGGATGTTTTTCAAAAAAATTTATATTTTTGGACACACTTTTCAGATTGTTTCAAAATATAAAAAAAATACATAAAAAAACCACTAGATCAAAACATATCAAAGTATTAAAATATTTTTTCAAATATTCAATCATTTTAAAAGTTTCTCCAAAAATATGAACTAATTTGAAAGGTTTATCCAAAACTATTAAATCGAGGCCATGATTAGAAAATTAGAAATTCCAGTGGTTAACTCTGTGAAGTCCTATTAGTACAAGGGGCAAAATACTCTCAGATGTAACAAGGAGGAGTTTAAGGAGGATGTATAAAGGAGGGGGGAACATAGCTAGAGAGTGTGGAGAGGAGCATTAAGTATCAGATTGGGGGCTTGCCAACGTTCCACCAGGGACCTCATCATCTGGCAACAGTTTACCTTCTAGGTTCCTGAGTGTGGACAAATGTTTATAGGTGGCAAATGAAGTTCCTTGGAAATGCCAGAAAGCTCTGATTCATTCAAAATGTTAATTTACATGCTAAAAACATGTGTAGACAAAATACCTGTCAGGGTGGCGGTCCGGTGCCCGGGACCCAGACACTGTCCGGGCGGCGGTGCGTGGACTGGGACCCCTGAGTGCCTGATGTTCAGAGTAGGAGTCACAGTGTGGAGGTGGATTAGCAGGGTCTGGTGCAGGGCAACCGCACGCCCCCTGGTGTTGAGCACCAGCGTTTGTGCAGCCACAACCAGAACCCTGAATCAGCTTATGCGGATCCCAGGAACTAGGAGCAGGTAATTAAGCAGACCTCCCAGGAGCTGAATAGGGAGGCTCTGCAGCAGGGATGTATCCAGTACTGAAACGAAGCAAGGCACCATGCATGAAAACAAGACAGAACTAGGAGAACAGGGCAAGACTGGAGATAGGCACCATACATGAAAACAAGAGAAAACTAGGAGAACCCAGAACCAGAGCAGGACAGAAAGCAACCTAGAACATGTACACAAGACATGAGGAAAACAAGAACATTACATGGGCATGACTGAACAGGACTGAACAGGAGATACAAGGTAAAACAAGAGGAGACATAGCTAAGCACTATATATGAAAAGTATGGGGATTTAGTTACATTATATGATCATACATTGCATAAGCCTGCCAACAACGCCAATGTACCCCATATCTGGCAGGTCCTACACTGCCTAATGCATGCTAAAACAACCATACTAAACCACAATAGCACTTACCTGCAAGAAAGGGCAGAGACTTGAAACACTGCTGCAGGTCCAGGCTGAAACAAAGGGAAAGTGGAAAACAAACAGGTGTGGCAACATAAAACAAACATTTAAGTGAATCCAAGAGACTGGGAAATCCAGGGACAGAATATAAGAATGAACTCAGAAACCCAGCAATAAAGAAAACCAGACATAGACCAGAAAACCAGAAAAACCAAGCAAGGACAGCAAAAGGAGTACTGGATACCAGAAGCCATTGCCAGAATGATCCGCAGCGAGGAACAGGATGTGACAATACCACAACACAGGGATTCCAGTTTTGTTGTGAAAACTGCAAATCCTGGTGTGCACAGTCCAGTTCTATGTTTTTAGAAATCTTTCCCGAGAATATGTAATGTTTTCATATGGTGCCCGTAATGTTCATGACTTGTGAGCTCAGATCCACCTTAGTCAACTTGTGGTGGAGATCAATGCTATTTCAGCCTTGATTATGGGTTGAGTAGCCCAATGACTCATAAGAAGTAGCTGGCAATGCAGGTGCATCAGAGGTAGTCAGCCGCAATCTTTGAAGTCAGGGCGCATAATAAATAATCATTCAGGAGGATTACTTCTGAAAATTGGGAATCCCAAGGAGCTCAACTTTCATGCGTCCGTGCCGCTTGTTGAGAGGGCCATGCCACTATTAATATTATTATTGCGATTTATACAGCGCCAACAGATTCCGTAGCGCTTTACAATATTATTAGAGGGGGGATTTGACTATAAGTAAAACAATTACAAGAAACTCACAGTAACGAAGGGTTGAAGAGTGCTCTGCTCAAAACGAGCTTACAGTCTATAGGATATCTTTCTAATGCACTATACAGGTCACCCATTCTGCATAAATGACCTACCCAAAATAATAAAAGATGAAAAATACTTACATTTATATGTCTGCATTTGATAAGATATCCCACCACACTTAAGATTGTTGTCCTTGAGTCTTGCGTTCGCTAGGAAGTTTCATGACTAATCAGAATCATCTCGGTCTATACAGTATTAACTAGTAGACATAATGAACCCACACTGCAAGGGTTAAAGTGGCAACCTATACGTGGCAGTATTTAGCCAGAGATTACCAGTACAGTTTTAACTCCCAGGAGTAATTGCCAGGCACTTAAAAAAGGAACCTCAGCCACAACAACTCTTCTGCACCAAAAAGGTAAGAAACAGGAGGATGGCTGTGTGTCAGCATGTATGTGTGTGTATGTATGTGTGTGTATGTATGTGTGTTTATCTATGTGTGTGTCTTTATGTACTTATGTGTGTTTGTGTGTGTCTGTATGTATGTGTGTCTTCATGTAAGTATGTGTGTGTCTATGTATGTGTGTGTATGTCAGTATGTATGTGTGTGTGTCTGTATGTATGTCACTAACCATGTGTGTCTGTATGTATGTCAGTATGTGTGTGCATGTGTGTGTCTGTCTGTATGTATGTCAGTATGTATGTGTGTGTGTGTATATGTATGTATGGTTTTATGTTTGTGAGGTTGTCTGTTTTTGTATGTATTTCACTATGTGTGTATCAGTATGTATAGTATGTCAGTATGTGTGTGTGTCAGTATCTATGTCAGTATGTGTGTGTATGTATGAATGTCTGTGTTTTAATATGTGAGTGTGTCAGGAATGTCTGTGTGTCTCTGTGTATCACTGTGTGTGTATCTTTGTGTGTGGGTATCTGTGAGTCCTTTTGTGTCAGTGTGTGTATGTGTGTGCCAGCGTGTGTGTTTGTGTCTGTGTGTGTATTCTGTGTCAATGTGTATGAGTCTCTGTATCTGTGTGTTTGTCAGTGTGGGTAAATGTGTGTGTATATCTGTGTGTAACTATGTCATTGTGTGTGTGTGTCTGTGTGTCTGCATGTGTATTAGTGTGTCAGTCTGAGTATCTGTGTGTCAGTATGTGTATCTGTTTGTCTGTGTATTTGCATGTGTGCCTGTGTATCTTTGTGTCTCTGTGTGTGTGTGTATGTGTGTGTGTGTAAGCAGGGCCGTCTTTAACGCGGGGCAAACGGGGCAGCTGCCCCGGGCCCAATTACTCCTGGGGGCCAAAGGCAGCTGTCCCGTGGGCCCCGCTGCCCTAAAAAAAAAAAAAATGTTTCCCGGCCGCTTTAGGCGGGCCCCGGACTGTAAGGAGTCCCACCGGGTGGCCCATGCACTTAGGGCCACCCAGTGGGTTTGTACCAGCAGGGGTCCAGTCGAGCGCTGTGGCCCGGTCGGGCGCTGTGGCCCTTTAACAGCGCGACCGGGCCTCTTGCTTTTCGGCAGCGCTGGGAGGAAGTGAGTGCTGAGCGTCACTTCCTCCCATAAAGAGCTGCTGCGCAGGAGAAGAAGGATCTGCACGGGAGGGAGGAGGAGGCAGTGAGGATGGGGGCTCCTCACTCACATCATCCTCAGACAGCACACTGGATCCCAGGGATGCCACCCTCCAGCAAAAGGTAGGAAACTGGAGGGTGGGCTTAAAATGTAAATTTTACATGTATGTCAGTTTGTCTGTCCATGTATCTGTGTGTGTCAGTATGTCTGATAGTGTATGTGTCTGTGTATGTCAGTATGTCTGTGTGTGTCAGTATGTCTGTGTGTGTCTGTGTATGTCAGTATGTCTGATAGTGTATGTGTGTATGTCAGTATGTCTGTCAGTGTATGTGCCTGTGTGTCAGTATGTCTTCCAGTGTATGTGTGTGTGTGTGTGTGTCAGGCACATACACTGATATACATACTGATACAGGCACACTAATAGACATACTGACACACACAGGCACATACAATGACAAACATACTGACACACACACATAGGCACATATACTGATAGACATACTGACACACACACACACACGCACATATACAGACATACTGACACACACACACACACAAACACACATACACAGGCACTTATACTGATAGATATCCTGACACACACACACAGGCACATATACAGACATACTGACACACACACAGCCACATACGCTGATAGAGATACTGTGTGTGTGTGTTAGTATGTCTGTATATGTGCCTGTTTGTGTGTGTGTCAATATGTCTATCAGTGTTTGTGCCTGTGTGTGTGTCAGTATGTTTGTCATCGTATGTGCCTGTGAGACCGTTTGTGTCAGTGTGTGTGTCAGTATGTCTATCATTGTATGTATTTATGTGTGTCAGTATGTCTCAGTTTATCTGTCTGTGTATCTTTATGTGTCTGTGTGTTTATCTGTGTGCGTATCTGTATGTAGTCAGTGTGTGTATCTGCTTGTGTGTTAGCATGTCTACCTGTGTCTGAGCACAAACAATAAATACAAATACACCCTTCCATTCAAACTTCAACATTACATACAAACACACTCCTGCATTGAAAGTCAACACTTCATACAAACACACCTCGGTGTTAAACACCAAAATTATATATAAACAAACCCCTACATTCAAAAACCAGCACTACACTTAAATGTACACTTGCATTCAAACTCTAACACCACATACAAACACATTCACACAAACATACTCCATACAAAAACATGCTTACATTCAAACACATAAACACAGTGCTAAATACAACCCTGCAAGCATGGGAAATTGGTAGAGCCCCAGTTGTCAATGCATTGTTGGAGTTGCATGACAGATAAGGTTCTACCTTCTTTCCAACCTTGCAATTGGGGTCCAAATGAAATTCTTGCACCAGGGCTCTTTTTACTTTAGTTCGCCCGCTGCGTTGGGGTGGAGGCGTGATTGCATGCTAGGGAGTGGATCCAGGGGGCCCAAGAAAATGCTTGCCCAGGGCCCAATCAATATTAAAGACGGCCCTGTGTGTAAGTGTATTCACTACACACAATGCACGCTTACATTCAAACACAACATTTACACACATACTCCATACAAAAACATGCTTACATTCAAACACAAATTGTGTGTTTGTGTGTGTAAACACAATATCTATATATATATACACACACACACACACACTCAATATACACACACTGCATCCACTGCACATGCACTAACACACCATGTTCGCTTTACACACAATGCTTTCAGTACACAAACACACCCTGTATCCAATTTACACACGCTGCAGACTTGGAGGCGGGCTCTGTTGGTGGGCTTGGAGGTGGGCCATGTGGCTGGGCTTGGAGGCGGGCCCGGGGGCCCAGACCTTGAGCTTTGTTAGGGGCCCCATAATTTCTGGGCTAGGGTAATCCTAACATCATAGCAACTACAGTGGGCTCTATTGGGTATAATGCTTCAAGTAACCTTTTAATTTTAGAGAAATGCAGAATATGGAAACTGTGACAGTTCCTACCTCTGCTCCACCTACCTAAATTACTACACCAATTATTTAAATAGTAATTAACTCTCTTTTTTAATGGGACACTTCCTGTTTACAGCAGGACACTAGGACATTTATTTTTTTATTTTATTTTTTTGTATTCTGTGCAGTACATTTCTTATGTACAATATAAACATTTTCAATAAAATATTTTTAAAATTCACAATTCAGGATTTTATGAATAATTATGAATTGCAGTTGTGAGCCCACATTTCCCCAATATAGCCATAAAGTATGAATTTATATATTTTACGCATCCTTCAATGCAACTCAATTTAAGAGATGCAGAACAAAGCAATTATATTCTTGAGTTGTCTTTCTTCACAAATTTTATGATAAAAATGATTACAAAGTTTATAATTAAGAGAGTTAATGCTTTTATTATATTGTCAATGTATCTGGAGAAATGTAATTATCTAGCTAACCAGAGAAGTTCATTAGTTAGAAAAAAAAAATGGCTACATCTCACATAATGAAACATCAAAATAAAAAACTACCATAATGTGCAAAAAATATTGAATTAAATGCACACAGTAAAAAATGTTATCAAAAAACATTGATCTGTCTGTCTGTCTGCCTGTCTATCTATCTGTCTCTCTCTTTCTATCTATCTACGCACTCTGATCAGCCACAACATTAAAACCACTGACAGTTGAGGTGAACAACATTGATTATATTGTTACAAAGGCATCTGTAAGGTATATTAGGCAGCAAATGAACAGTCAGTTCTTAAATTTCATGTGTTGGGAGCAACAGGGCCATCTTTAATATT